CTGATAGAGATTACAACACCGTACGTGTTTATGTACAAGTTTATTAAACTGAATTATTGTTTTGTATACTAGTGCAGACGGGAGGGGGGGAGCACGTGGGGTAAGTGGCTCTTCTTTTTTTCAGTTATCTTCTTGAGTCACACAGGTGGGAGGGGGAGGGGGACTGTGTGTGTTAGTAGAGGGTTAGTAAATATCCCTTGACGAAAAAATTCCCGATCTAGTCTTCCTCTTCTAACTCTTACGACAAGCAAGACAGCGAAGAAAATATCATAACAAAAGAACAGAGGAACGCGCATGCGTTGCCCACCTGCATTACGTTTACTATTTGTTAGGTGACGGTAAAGTAGTTGCTTTGGCAGTCTACTGTCGTCCATGCGGGTAACATGGCCAGTCCAGCGTAGTTGTTCATGAATAATGGTAGTCTCGATGCTCCTACAGTTGGTGTCAGCGAGAACACTGGCTTTTGTTCTCTTGTCTCCCCGGCGAACTCGGACGATGGAACGTAGAATACGTTGGTGAAAGTTTTTAGGTGCCTTGAGGTGCCTCTTGCATGTGACCCATGTCTCACTGTCATATAGCAGGGTGGGGAGGACCGCTGCTCGATGTACGTGCAACTTTGTATATAATTTCAGCTCCACACATACACACACTTAATATCTTAATTCATTTCGTCTACATTTAGTTCCCCTGATCGGTTCGGAAGGTTTGGAGTCAGTAGTGTAAAGCTGTCCTCTTCTGTGCCTCAGCCAGTGATATTAGTACTAAGGATAAGCTGTTTAGCCTCATGCTCTTGTGTCTGTTTCAGAGACTCGAGAGTGGCATGTCATGTGCCGTGGGAATAGTTAAAGGGATCAGGGTTTTATTCTCACCTCCACGTTCACATCTCAGATAACCCCCAAGTTTGTTATGACTCTTCCTGGACAGTGTATTTTTATCTTCAAATAGGATATATTATCGTGTATCTCTTATTAGAACGAGGGAACAAATAATTTATTGAATAATGGCAGGTTGAGGGAGAGGGCGATGTACTCTACAGAACTAAATAAATAATTTATTGAATAATGGCCTGCCGACGATGTCCTCCTCCAAGCCCCTGACTACCTCAGCATGCAGGAAGCCCTTGATCTGGTCTCCAGAGAGTGATTCACTTGGTTTCCTTCTTTCAACTGCGAAAACAAAAGCCATGTGGCACGGTCGTGTTGTACCTCCACCCCTTCTCTTATCAAGAACGCCCTTGGACTGGGTTAATGAGACAAAATACCTGGGTGTGTTAATGAGACAAAATACCTGGGTGTGTATGTAACTCGCACACGTTGTCAGATCCCTGAAGTCCGCTATCTTCGAGACATATGCTTTCGGCGTCTCGCTCCCTTCTCTACCATGTGTGGGGGTTCCCTTGGTGCCACCATCCCTGTACTTCTCACCATGTACAAGTCCTTTGTTCGTACCTGTGTCGACTACGCCGCCCCTGCCCTCGTCAACATTAGTTGCACTGCTGTCAACCGTTTCGAAGTTATCCAGAGGAAAGCTGCTCGTATCATCCTTGGGGCTCCTCAGTGGATACGCTCTACTTCTCTATATACCGAACTTGGTCTTTCCCCATTACAGGATCGTGTCCAGGAGTTTTACCTAAAAACTGCCGTTTCCATTCTACGGGATCCTCGGGGCAACTATGTCCAAGCCAACTTGACTCCTGCTGTCCGAGACCGACCTCCATCTAGAAGACAATGGCGAGGGTCACTCATCCGAGCCCTTCAGGAACACGACCTCCTGCCTGATATTGTTGTCACCCCTGCTGTTGGTTCGTCTCCTTCTCCCTGGCTGGATTTTCAACCTGAAGTGATTGCCCTCGGTGGACCACTCCCGAAATCCCAGGTGAACCCTGTTATTCTCTGCAAATACCACCTCTCCAGGATCGCCCACTGGTCCCCAGGTAGGGTCGTCCTCTACACTGATGGTTCTGTTGACCCCGCTACAGGTATGTCCGAGGCTGGTGTCTACATCTCCCGTCCTGATGCCCCTGAGCCTATCAAACTGTCTCTCAGAGTTTCTGACGGGGCATCCTCCACTCAGGCTGAACTAATAGCCCTCCTTGCTGCCCTTCTCGCTGAGGAAGAAGCAGATGGTTTCTGCCCCTTGCTTGTCTGCTGCGATTCCAGGTCTGCTCTCGACGGGATCGCATTTGGATCAGGTGAAAATAAGGACCTCATCCTCCGAATACGAGGGTTAACATCCACAATTGAGGATGCAGGCCGTCCTGTGACATTCCTATGGATACCCAGTCATGTCGGTATCTTGGGGAATGAGGCAGCAGATGGCCTTGCCAAGACTGGCTGCAACAAGGCCACACCTGACTACGTTGTTCCTCGAACACTCTTACAGATTAGGACCCAAATTCGCCGCAAACAGAGAGAAGCTCGGGAAGCAGCCATCCCCCTGGACTCCCCGCCCACCTGGTACGATGTCCTCCGTAAACTTCCTGACCTCTCGTACGTCTACGGGAAAGGGTCGCGTAAAGGGGACGTGATTGCTGCCCGTATCATCATTGGGTGTGACTTTGCTTGGGAGATTGGTATCCCCGCATCCCCTGAGCAACGCTCTTATGCATTATGCAGAAGACCCGACAGCAGCACCCTTATCCACTACCTCCTAAGATGTCCCCACACACAACGCTTCCGTGACGCCTGCTGGACCACCACTCCACGATCCCCTGACGGAGACACGATGATCCTCCCCATACTGGCCAGATATTTTGTAAATAATTTTGATTATGTGTTCAAGGAATATCCTTCCTTCCTTAGGCTTTAGTAAGCCCCTTTATAATATTTATACTGTATATACTTGTGACACTTGCCAGATGCTTCTGGTGTCATTGTACAGGGGTACCTAGTGACAGCACTAGGATCCCGCTTCCTCTATCAAGGAATAAACAATTGAAATTGAATTGAACAAAAGAAGAAAAGAAAGTTAATTAGTGGCAGGAGGAATTAAAGTCTCCAGGACCGGAGTTAGTGTGTGTTGTCTCGACTCCTGGAGAAGATCTCTGTGTTTTGTTCATAATACAGGTGAGACACTTAATTAACAAGGTTATGGGGGCCTCCAGGTGTTGATCAGCACCTTCCCTGCCAGGTTCATCTCTGGCTCTTGTCTCGTCTTTCTCTGTCAGTCTCTCTCTCTCTCTCTCTCTCTCTCTCTCTCTCTCTCTCTCTCTCTCTCTCTCTCTCTCTCTCTCTCTCTCTCCTCTCCTCTCTCTCTCTCTCTCTCTCTCTCTCTCTAGTAGTTGCTCTGTCTCTTTATTTAATGTTATGTGTTTTCTTTCTCCCTCTTGCTCCTCTTTCTGGATAAATCTCGTCTCACCTACACACACAGGAGAGAGAGAGAGCCGCCACAAAACACCCATCGCGTACGAGTTTCCTGGTACGAATGCATAAAATATTTTCTGTTTTCTTTCGCTTTGCAGCACAAAATGTCTTTTCCGTGCCAATTTTTTCCTTGTTTTTTCTTCTTTTTCTCGACGGTACTCTCGGATTTTTCTTTTTTAAATTATCACGATTTTGTTTTTGTTTTGCACGACAAAATTGCGTTTGTAAGAAAAAAATTTTGTAATCGTTATAGTTAAGTCTTATGAATTATTCCTTGTTTATTTTTTCTTAAGTAAAGAATAATGTATCTTATTTTCTCATCATTGTGTAACTGATATTGTTTGTGTGTGTATGGGTGTGCATGTGTGCGTGCGTGTGTGCGTGCGTGTGTTTGTGCGTGTGTGAGTCTAGAGATCATTGAGGACCCTGTTATCAACGAGGTTCATCACGCCCCATCTTCACCAGTCTTCCTCCTCCTCTCTTCTCGTACTCTAATAAAACAAGTTTGGTCTGACCATCACTTCAGGCATACAGTAGGTTCCTAAGACTCGGGCGGACACTAAGGGCGGAAACGATCTTCCTGCTCGTTACCGCTGCTTACTCGCTCGTTTGCTGGTGCGGACGACACTTGGGGCGGTTGGACAGAGGTGAGAACGGCAGCGTCTATCTGGGTCACCGGCAGATTCAACCCAGCCGCCATACAGTCACTATCTAGCTACCCAGCTGTTCGTCAAATTCTGGCTGTGATCTCATCATAGGTCCTGGATCTCGTGGGCTGTGTCCCCAGACCTTCACCTATCTACTGTCAATTCTCTGGACATCTACCACTACCACGTACCACGACCGTCAGTTCATCTCATTCCGCCTGTGCCCCGGTGTTCTCCTGCCATTTCAAGACATCAGCCGCTGTTGCTCGAGTGTGGAGTTGAATGGACGCTTCCCTACCCTGAGTGTGGATCACCGTGTTCCAGAACCTTCCCCCAGGGCCACTGCCTTAGGAAATATCTGTTCATTGTTTGATTCTTTCAGTTGTTGACTCCCATTAATTGTTTGATTCTATTAATGGCTGACTCCCATTAATTGTTTGCTCCCTTTAATTGTTATTTGGTGTTTGTTGAGTGGTGTCAGAGGTTTGTGTTATATTTTTATAGTAAAGAGATGTCAATCTCAAACGGTTGTTTGTTATGCCTCAGAAAACCATGGTCCTTGACTTTCCTTTATTAAGAACCTGATTAGTCTGGTAAGGGATTTCTATCCCTAAGTCCCAGGCCTTTACAACCTTTATAACTATCCTCTCTCTAATGTGTGTGGCAAAATGAATTATCCAGAAAGTCATGTTTGATATACAGTATACAGTTTATGCGGTATATACAGTATACAGTTTATACAGTATATACAGTATACAGTTTATGCGGTATATACAGTATACAGTTTATACAGTATATACAGTATACAGTTTATACAAGCTTCAATTTTAGATCGAAGTATAAATTTTTACTCCAGAAGAACATCTTTATTTGGCTCCAGGAACACACACAACATCCCAGCAAACAGAGACGGTAATACTGTAGACCAGCGGTGAAGTTACTGTAGAGAGCGACTGTTGGTGAGAGAGAGAGTGTGTCATAACTTTACCTCATGGTGTACTCGTGTGGATCACCAGGAAACACAGGCATGTACTCGTGTGGATCACCAGGAAACACAGGCATGTACTCGTGTGGATCACCAGGAAACACAGGCATGTACTCGTGTGGATCACCAGGAAACACAGGCATGTACTCGTGTGGATCACCAGGAAACACAGGCATGTACTCGTGTGGATCACCAGGAAACACAGGCATGTACTCGTGTGGATCACCGGGAAACACAGACATGTACTCGTGTGGATCACCAGGAAACACAGACATGTACTCGTGTGGATCACCAGGAAACACAGGCATGTACTCGTGTGGATCACCAGGAAACACAGGCATGTACTCGTGTGGATCACCAGGAAACACAAGCATGTACTCGTGCATATAAATATTCACCACAGTTAATCCATCAACAACACAACACACTCGGTGGTTTGATAAAAATTAACTGAAGCGTTTTTGATGCCTGAGAATTGTGGTTGTTTGTGTGAATTGTGGTTATTTGTGTGTTGCTATGCGTGAATTTTTTAAGTGAATAATTGTCGAGGTGTTTTTTGTTGTTTTATGAAACCTGGTGATGACGATAACAAATATATAGTTTACTACAAAATGTGACAATGTTTTTTTTATTAACATTTATTAGCTAATGGCTTATTGTCTGACAGGTCTCGTCTCTCTTATGGCATTTGGCTGAATTAAAGTATTAAGTTTTCATTAATTTAAACTATTACACTGTGGTTATATTACGACATATTAAACGATCACAGTGTTATATTACGACATATTAAACGATCACATTGTCTATATAACGAAATATCACCAATATAAGAAAATATATAGTTTTTGTATATGTTTATCGCTACACATTATTTATGGTTTCTGAATAACGTAGCTGATTAATCAATGTTATTTATCACATATCACTTTAATAAGTATTTCAGCTTTCCTAACCTTATATAACATGTTTACCATCACGTGACACTGACAGACTCTCTCTCTCTCTCTCTCTCTCTCTCTCTCTCTCTCTCTCTCTCTCTCTCTCTCTCTCTCTCTCTCATGATCTGACATAACTCTTGGAAACTTCTGAATAAAACACCAGTAATATATCTTTGTACGATAGTTCCCCCCTTATGTTGTTAAATATGTATAAACTATTGAGAAATAATTAACAAAATAGTTACGTAACATCAAGTGTGTGTGTGTGTGTGTGTGTGTGTGTGTGCGTAATAAGGAGGACTAACAATCTTCACCTTACTGTAAGATCCTCCCACTTCACTACACATATCAACAGTAATATGAAAATAAACCAGAGTAGAACATGTTCCCGCCTTGTTATCCTGTTAATTACGTTGCGTGTCAATTGGTCGTTTACACCACCAGGTAACGTAATTACTAACGAAGTAATTTTATCTTCGAGGATTGTAATGCATGTTCCATTATTCTTAATTACTTTGGCCAGACCACCAAATTGTTTCGCCCAGGTAATGATGATACAGGTGGACAGTTATGTTATGTATTTAAAAACGAAAATTTCATATGGTGCCGGAGTGTGTGTGTGTGTGTGTGTGTGTGTGTGTGTGTAGGTAGGTCAACAGCAGAGGTAGTGAAGCTTCTTGTCATAAACCATGTACACCTCCCTCCTATTCTGTGTATTACATGTTAGTTGTGTCTTTATCGTGTTGGTCATTTATCACTTATAAGTTAACACCCCCCCCCGTATTGTTATTTTGTTCTACTCATTCTCTTACACTTATTTCTCTACGTACTTAGGAGTCACATTGAGTCAAATCTTTTTCTAATTAATATTTCAGGTTTTACATATTCGTGCATAGGATCTTTACTCATTACTAAATCTTACCTTTATATATAGGACAATTTCCCCCATAATTACGAACTTTTACTTCAATACATCAACGTTTTGTCCGTAAATTGTTTTTGGTTATTTCTTACACCCAAAATAATTAAGTTACGATTTATTTTGAAGTTCATCGGGAATGTAGTTTATAAATATCACCACTTGATTGTTAGGTTAGGTTAGGTTAGGTTAGGTTAAGTTAAGTTTGGCCGTAGGTATAGTGTCTGGCCCGGTGAGCGAGGTGTGGCTGTGAAAACGGGTCACAGTTTTATTTATCTCAAGTTGTTTATTTCTATTTTATAAACTAAAAAGAGTCAACAACATTTTCTTTATACACCAGTGTACAGTATAGTACGAGTATACAGTGTTGTGTATGGTGTATAACGAGGCCGCTCCTGTGTATGATGTCTTTGTCTTGTTGTGTATGTATGTATTGTTACTCGTATGATGTACTGTATGGTAGGGTTGCCATCACTCAGTTTAAGATAACTTTTATCGCTAGATTTAAGGTCTCCTAAAAATGTTGTCGGTCGCTGTTCATAATTCAATCTGTCTACTCTGATTGGATCTAATTTCATGGATCTCTAGTTATTATCAATCATCTCTTTATTTTTTATGACAATTCGTGAAACTTTACATTTTAGTTTTTAATTAGTTTTTCGCTCATTGAATCTCATTTGTCTCTTGAAATTTAACTTCTGTTTGATTCTTGACGTAATTATCTGACGTGGTACTTTATTTTATTATTGTTAAGTTTGCACACACACACACACACACACACACACACACACCGTCTCTCTCACTCTGTTGTTTAAGGTGAGAAAGTGTGAGAAAGTTTACACACATTAGGTGGGAAAATGTTCCTCACTTTGCGGGCCTCGATAGGGTAAATGATCTCATCTCGTGTCCCCAGAGTGAAGAAAAACCGTCTCGTGTTTGAGTCGGTGAGGCAGCAAACGTTCCTTACGCTGTGAGCTGAGAGTTAAGCTAAAGTGCCTGGATACATACATACATACATCGTTGTTCAGATAGATATTTAGTAAAATCGTATTACATGTTCACAATGATTCAGCACGTACTGTACAAACAATATACATACTGTAGACAGTGTAGACATACAGCTAAAGTCTTTAAAACACGTAATGATGTTGGTAATTACACTTGTCCACAACGATCAGAAATTATATAGAACTCTTTATCATTGTTCTAGACATTGGGGAAAATGTTCTAGTTTCTATTAGTAAATCTGAAGGTAAGTTTCATCTCTTGTGTTCAATGAAGTTGGAATAGGTTGAGACTGAGTTATTTGCGAGGCGAATTGTGTGTTTTCATCCCTGGAAAAATATGTACTCAAGGAAGAAATTGGGAAAAATAGTAGGTTTAAAGTGTTGAGTTTGGTGAATTTTCCATCTAAGAAGTTGAATAAGTCGACTGTTTGTTTATGGTGTGGCAAGATATTACCTCTCCTCCTCCCCCTCCTCCCTCCCCCCTCCCTCCCCCTCCTCTCCCCCTCCCTCCTCCCCTCCCCCCCCTCCCTTCCCTCCCCTTCCCTTCCCCTCCCCTTCCCTTCCCCTCCCCTCCCTTCCCCCCTCCCCTCCCCCCTCCCTTCCCCTCCCCTCCCATCATCGTGTGAATTCTGCGTCAATTTGTTTCCTTATGCATGAGTGAAGTAGATTTTCATGTCATTGTTACATCACTGTTGAACATGCACAGTTGTTATGGGAAGTGTTAGGGAGGGAAGGGTGAAAGAAGAGGGAGGGGAAGGGGAGAGAGTGAGGAGGGAGGACAAATGGGAGAGAGAGAGAGAGGTTGGGCGAGGGGAAATTGCACGGAACAGAGGGTAAAGGGGAGGGGAAAAAGGCAGGCGAGGGGAATGGAGAGAGGGAAGCGGGGAGAGAGATAGGGAAGAGGGGAGTGATGAAAGTGAGGAGAGAAAGTAGAGAGGAGAGAGGAAAGAAAACCTTGTATGAGTATCAGTTCCAGTTTTATGCTTATTGTGTTATTCTCTCTCTCTCTCTCTCTCTCTCTCTCTCTCTCAATCTGGCATTTTCTCCACTAGGAATAAATACTATAAGCTCCTCTTGAAACCTATATAGAGCATCCCTTCTGAGGGGTTTCCTTGACTGGGGATAATATGCAGCGATGTTTTCCCTCGGTAGGATTCCCTTCACTTGGGTATCCTATCCGCTGAGATTTTATCCACAGGGATTTTTATCCTTAAAGAAATAGTAGTTGAGACCATCCCCCATCGACCGCCCCCAACATAACCCATTAACATTGGTCTTTATCCCCTGGTGTTAAGTTTCTCTACCCGACGTAAATTTGATAACATTCAGGGCCTCGTACGGCTGGACCTGACAGTACCTGGTGTTTGTGGGGCATAAACGCCAGGTAGAGGTTCACATGATAGTGAGCCGGGTGGTGGTGATGCTACCATGGTCACTGTGTGGGAGGGTGGGGGGGGTGTCTTGTCATTATACTTGGTTGAGTGTTTTATGCTCGAGGTACAGAAAGTATTACTGCATAACTCTGAACATGAGAGAGAGAGAGAGA